CATGCATATAAATGTACTTTTTATCAGACCATACTGTCCCAAAAGTTAGAAAATTTCTCTAAAAAAAATCCTGTCCTAAAATCTGTGGGGGATTTTTCCGTTATTTTATGCAGGCTAGTTAGTTGTACGTCAACTTTTTTTTTTTCTTTTTTCCCAGTCATAGATTCTTGATTTATATGTCACAGCTATTATACGCAATGGTTGAAAGGAGCAATAAGAATAACTTATTTAACCATTGAGTTACGTCCCAGTAGGAGGGGGATGGACGTCTGTGTCTTCGGCAGGCGTAGAGCTAACAGAACTGTCAGTGTTGTGAGGCAAGGGCTCAAACATGTACGGCTGTAAACCTTCTACACCAAACGAAGCTTCTGCCGCCCTGGCATCCTCTTCCACAACAACTTCGTCCCCGCTTTCCTCCTCTAAATAAACAACGTATGAAGGAGGAGACTCATCCACGACCTCCGACACAAAACTCTCCTATCTCCATAGTGTTCCTTGACAGTGTCGTTGCTAAGTACTACTTGATCCCAATGTAATTTCCTATTGGGAACCTACTAGCACTAAGTTGCTAACTGGTTAGCAAGATGCTTCCGAGACAACGGCCACAACTAAACTTGCTTGCGAACATTCCGCCACAACAATCCTGCCACCTTGATAATCGACCAATCACATTCACTTTATTCAGTTGTGTAAAGTCGGGCACCACTTAGGAGAATTCAGAACTGCAACCGTTGGAAGAGCCGTTTCCCTGCAACTTTTAAGGTTTTGTGATCGCTAACCTAATCTCAAACCTTGTGCAAAATGACTTCTTTTCTACTTCAGTGTGATATAAAGAGGGCACTTTGTTTTTGATAGCATTTAAAAGGAGTTTGAATGTTTTAGAAAGCAGTCAGTGTCATGTCCCGATGCCAAAGAAGCACCTTTTCTGCTTCAAATAGAATGGAGAACTCCCTTTGGCAAATAAATCCATGAAGATGAAGCACAATAATGCAAACATTAAGTCATAAAAAATGGTTGCTGTTGCTTTTATAGACTAGATGAGCTTTTAATGCTACATTTCTCATCTCTGAAAGGGCTTTTGTATAATAGAGGCGCTTGGTGTTTAGCTGTATTGTGACAAGTGCACCTGTGCTGTTAACCTCCTTGACTGCTCCAGAAGGGAATGCTGTTGATGATGTACTTTTCTTCCATTAAAAAAAGAGATACAATTTAATTTGATTGCTTTGTAAATGAAAATTGTTAAAATTTATTTTTTTCTTTGAATAGAGAACTAAAAACACTTTGCTTTAAAACAACGCTGTGTAACTGTTAAAACAAGTATTAGCTCAGTTTGAGAGGTATTAAATGATTTTATTTTCTGGTTAATATACAATACTTGATGCATACAATGCTCCATGGATGCTCTCCTTTTCAAAAACTTCCCTATGTATAATTTGGAAGGGTCAGGTCCGTCACTGAGTGGGTCAGACATGGATCAGACATATTTTTGGTTCTCTGGTGTAGGATTTAATCTAGATTAGTTTATGTAGCCTTGTCTTTACAAGTAACAACATGACTTTTTCAATCTGTTGGTCCAAAGGGGTCTGCCAACAAACTCATAATGTGGAAGGGTGTTTGGTTTTGATATATTGCAGTGGTGTTACACCTGGAAGTTACAGGTTTGGTTGTGTCTAAAAGTTGCACAGTTTTGCTTTAATAAAACAAGCACAGTAGTTGGCCGAATGCAGAGGTCTTGTGTTTCTGCCTCGATTAAAATGACTAACATCGCAAACAGTTTTTTATTTTATTTATTTTTTTTGTGCATGTCATTTCAGCAAATAGGGTATGCCATATTCATTCTTTATTTTGCTTATTTTAATTTCTGGGCTGACTCAAGTTTGTTATTTAGTCAAATCCGCTTGATGTTTGTTGCCCGATTTGTATGAAATAAAACTAAAAGAAAAAATATGCCAGATAAAAGGTGAAAACAATACATTGCTCCCTAAATGTTACATTTTAAGAAGGGATTTTATGTTTTCTGTGTTTTTGAAAGAGAAATTGCACCCTTATCTAGTTCTCAAATGTGTATTTTTTTACCTGAGGTGACTAGTCAAATAGATGCAAAATAGGTCATTATAAAGAGCCACCTGAAATCATTCAGACGGCCACAGATGGCCCCAGGTCACACTTTGGAAACCACAGATTTTAATGGTCAAAGTTTGTGCTGAAAAATGCATGCATTTTTCTTAGACAGAATACAGATGCAGTTGTAATAGTTTTTATTTTCAGTAATGCTCTGTGACTTTACCATTTAGGCTTTTAATGCTAGCAGTAGTCAAGTGAGTTTGGACACGCTGTGTTAAATGGCACAACTACTTTTCAAGTAGTAATAATATGCTATTTTCAATGGCCTGAATATTGAGTTAATTAACATTTTTCCCGTTTCAACAAAACCATTAGATAAGTTAATAAATGTAGGTAACTCTAACAGCAATTCAAGAAAAAGAAACAGTTCTTGACAAGGGTGAATATATTAGGAAGATGTTGAGTTTTCTGTAGAAGTTTTTTTTTTTTTTAGCATAGTTATAACCCTGGATTACAAAATGTTTCTTTATTTTTTCCCACATTCAGGTGTGGTATAAAGCACTATTTCTTTCCATTTATCAGAACTAAATCTAAAACGGTTGGTCACGTAAATCTCCGACTTAAGTTTCAGCTGGTTTTGAAGATCATAAAGAAGTCTTTTATTGTTTGGCCAAACTGAAACCCTTCTTTTTTGGTACTCATCAGTCTATATTTTTTTGATTAATGTGTACAACAATTTTGGACGTGTTTAAATCTAGGAATCTAAGATAGACATGCACCGATTGATCGGCTTCGATTTCCTTTATTTTGGAACATCAGTGATCGTCCAATATTCCCTACCTCTGCAAAAGACTAAAAAAATCAGCCCATCATGCTCTAAACATTGATTAATGTGTTATTTTAGAACAGCTGTGGTTTCATGGGTTCTGATCAATGTTTTACAAGGAAATATGTTGAAATATAGAAGGTGTCCTGTGATCTTGGAACAAATTAGTCAAAATTGAGATTTCTGGCTTTTTAAAGATCAGTGATTGGCCAGAAACTTGCGATCAGTAAACCCCTGATTTAAGGCTATCGGAAAGTTATTTCTGATCAGTGGATCAGCTGTGGAAATGGTTCGGTCTTGAAAGTGTCTTGGGACAGTTGATTGACAAAAACTTTATGCAATGTGGAAAAATGTAGGCAACAATGGTAAATATTACAATAACGATATGGCTTGTGTTAAATAGTCAAGTACTTAGCTGTGTCGGTGGATTTCTGCTCTAGGTTGACTGCTAACATGCCTAGCTTGTCTTTTCGTAATAATTTTACCATCAGTTTATAATCTAAACCATTTGTAAGCCACAACAAGTTTCATCAGATCTATTAATTGTGTAAAAAGCCCAACTACATTGAGCTGAAATTAGTACCTCCTATTTATTCATTTTAAAGAGATGTTTTTACTTAATAGATTTTTTAAAGCCTGTTTTAAACTTTTGGTCTCACTTTTCATTCAAGGAGTTTTGTACAAAATAACATATGTTCATAAATTTTAATGTCTAGTATGTGACATCCACTGGCAAAACTGTTTCTTAGTTTGCGATAGACAAGTTTTATAAAAAGCTTGGTTGAAAGCTGTCCTGTCACCCTCTTTTCTTTCTCTTTATTTAGTCATGCATTATTCTTTAAGGACAGATATATTTAAGTACAGTAGATGAGCATTTACAGTAACTTGCCTGCCCTGCGGTTCTAAATGTGACACACTGGGCAGCTTGTGTAATGTGTGTCAACCGACTGGCTGTAGCTGAGAACAATGGGTCAGTGTCCTGAGGAAGCTGCATATTCTTTTGTTGGGGTCCATCAGCCCAGCTTCTTATCTCAGGAGCTGTGGTGAGGATGAAGGGCAGCAGAAAAACATCACTACTGATCATCATCCTAGCTGCTGATTTTATGCGCCGCTACAGTGCCATTAATATATTTATATATTTTATAAGCAGGTGTTTCTTATCTATCTAATAATGTGCTCTGGTAATATGTTTCTTTGAGGAAATTAAAAACAAGTGGTGATGTTTTCTGGTATTTTTGTTTCATTTCATTATTTTCTATAAAATGCTCAAGAGAGTAAATGAAAGAGATGATGGTTAAAAACCAGAACTTAGTTTCCTGAAATGACAATAACAGGAAACCCATGGAAGTCACACACATGATCCATGTATTTTCTCCGATACTCCCTAACAGTACAGTGTGTTTTTAGGTTGTTTACCTGAGACAAGAGGTCCTCTAAAACACATATAGTATAAAAGGGGAAAACAAGAACACTTTTAATCTCTTCTTGACAAGATAAGCAGTTAGGAATTTTAAAAGTGTCTGCAGCTTATGTTGATCCTAATCCAACATGAGATTCAACACATTTTTATCTCCACTGTTTGCTCAACCATCCTTTGTAGTTTGATCATCAATACCAACCTGCAGGTTTCAGTCAGGTCAATCTAATGTGTGGGATGCAGAAATGTTTATTCTATTACATCAATGTGCGATAATAGAGCATAGTCTCTATTAAACAGGGGTGCCAAAGTGTGGCCCCTGGGGGACAAAGTACACATTTGAGTCACCAGTCGAGGGAATTGATGCTGATTTACACTTGACAATAATTCTTGGGATGAAAATTTCCTTGACAAATTTTAACTTTATTACAGTGAGGATTGTTAGCAACAACTCCAAGTAATAATTCTTAATTTGTCATATTAATTTTATAGTCAAAAAGACCAAAAGCTCCCTTGCACATAAAGGCCAACACACCCTGTTCTTGAACATAGAGCAAAATATAAAAAGAAAATGTGTCCAAAAAAAATAGACATTCACAAAAAAATTAAAAAGACAATTACATTTAAATTGCATCTTAACTATTTAAGCAGAAGCAATGAAGAACATTATTTTTGTTCCTCTCTGTCTTTCAGGCCAGTCTGTCCGTCTGGGGATGGGGGGGTCTTGGAGTTGTGCTGTTCTTTGTCACGTTTGGACCTTTTGCCATTTTCTACCTGGCCTTTTATATCTTTTGCTTCATTGGAGGGTGAGTAACATGACCTAAATTCTGGCTTTAAACATTACCAAATCCATCCTTAAAATATTTGTCCATTGTTTATACCTTTCTTTTTCAGTGGCTTTGCAGTCACTTTGCTGTATGGAAAGATAAACTCAGAGAAACACCTGGAAAAATGCGAACACTCTTTCTTGCCACCAACACAAATTGGTATACAGAAGGTAAGAAACACATCATTAGCAAAACTTTGCACATAATTTGGCCCCTTCTAAGCGAAGCTATCAATCATAATTTAATCACATTTTTTTACCCGAGAAAGTTGGTTATAAGGTCACTTAGTTCAATAAAGTGTTTTTTTTTACTTGTCTTGTTTTGGCTTTATCTCTTTCAGACGCTGGATGACATGAAGCTGGAGGTAAAGCCAATTAAGATTGACAGGAGACTGACTGGATCTAGTTTCATTGATGAGCCACTACAGCAGGTGTGTTTTAGTCTCCTTTTTTATGGCACTTCCTGTTAATTGCATACCTGTGTTTTTTTATTTTTGAGATTGTGATCTTGAAACACAAAGTATGATGATGGCTATTGACGGGGAAATGGCTGGGGGATTGAGGAAATCTCTAGGAAATAGTTTTTCAAAGCTTGTGTAATTAATTCTGAACTTAAAGCACAGTGAGTGTAGCTATTAAACAATATAAAAAGCCTAAAGTTACATATAATCCTGTCATTCAGTTCTGTTAAACTTATAATCAGAAGTCTTGGGGTAAACCGTTTGGGTGTTTTGTATTTTAAATGACATGTTAAATCTTACTAGAACTAGAACTAGTGAACACACCAATACAGTTGAAACCTCTCAGTCACAGCTTGGCTCAGCTTTAGTTGTTTATATGAACAGTCATTCATAAAGCTGATTTATAATCAGAAACTGGGTCGTCTGCGTGTGTTGCAGTGAACGCAGATATGCCCCCGCCGCTTCCGCAGATACTCTGGTCCACCTCTCCATTATTGTAGGTGGCCGCAGACAGTGCAGAAGAGAAGAGGCCTCTGATCGTTCAAATCTACATCTGCTCTACACTACGCGTATTTCCTGATTGGTACCTTACAGACTTGCTTTGTTTGCATGACCACCATTGCGGAAAATGACTCGTGAAGTTGGAACAGCTAGAAGAGCGAGGTGTGCAAGAATGCTTGGACCAATTTTCCGCCTGGATCCCCGCTCTTTTTTTGCCCTCATGTCCCTCAGTTGTCGCACAAACTTGCCCCCACTTTCTCACTGCCTCAGCCGTATCTAGACCCACAGCTAATTTGTATTTGTCCCTCTTGCGTTTTGGCGTGGAATAACATAGCGCAGACCACGCTTCAATATTGGACATATATCAAAAATATCTGCGACAAGCTTACTGCGACACTGCTGCGGGAGTATAACCAGCCCTTTAGACTTTGACCTAGGTCTTGAAAATTGACTCGGACTCTTGCCTTACAGTTTCAGTAATTTACATGGATTCCAGCGCATTGTAATTGATAATCCAATTTTCTTTTGTGGAAGTAAGTTGGTTCTTATACTCCCTACCAATCTCCTTCTATTAGCCAGGAACATTTACAGACTCTGAACCTTTTTCATAATGAACTGTTGTCTCCTACCAGAACCAGGCGTTAAGACTTTGGGTTATTTTAGAACGAAATAAACGTTACTTCCCACTGTCTTACTGTTAGTGAAGGAAATTAGTTCAGAGGTTTGCCAATGGTTCTATGCACAACTCCACTACGTCTTGAACTGAAGGCAGCACCTTTGGCGCGATCCAAAACCGCCCCCTTTGTGCTACCCCTTCACTATTGACCATCACTCCCAATGAAGTCCCACTCAAAGCTGTGGAAAGTGCTTTGATTGAAGTTAGAGGGTGCAAATAACGGGATGCCCTCTTCCCTCTACCCGGAAGATGAAAGCTGTGACAACATAGAGACAGCCTGTGTGCATGGCTGTAGCTCTGTGGCGCAGGTTGCAAAGCTCAAGGACTGCTGTTGCAACTGCCCCATATATGGGGCAACAATTGACAAACTACTTTCAACCTCATGATACTTTCTTTATAGTAAGCTTTTACATCTTGAGCTGTATGTGTGTGTAGGGGACAGGTATGAGTTCAATTTCTACAAATATTGTCATTCTAATAAAAATAACCCATAAGAAATGGATAGAAATGTAAAACATGTTGCATTCATCCCCACTCTCCCCTACTTCAAATGTGATTCCACAAATCCACTTATTGACCTGCTTAGTGACTGATCTAAAGGAGGGAAACTAACACAAAATAACAGGATTATGACAGATGGGGGCACCTTTTCTGTTAAGTCACAGTCTGATACATCAGCTGGCCAGGTCAGCCACTTGGAGGCTTTAAGCTTTAGAAGAACTAATAGTATAAAACAATGCAAATCTTTATTTGACCTTAGAGTTGTTCATGAGATGGTATCCCATCTTCTTTTTGTTTATATGTCAGTACAGGTTTTATATCTTTCATCCAATGTGACTTTTTACATTTAGAAAAAGGTAGAACATGTTTGTAATTTGGATTACCAATATATTTACTACAATATTCTTCTACTGTTATTTTACTGTGTTAATCTAACAAAAATGCAATCAATGTTTTGTACAAACAGTTTGGTTAAGACAATACATCTTGTTAACATCTCAAATGTTGTGGATAATGTGTGCACCCACCCTGGTGCCAATCTTAGCAGTGACTGATTGATTCACAGAACAACAAGGACAAACAGGACAAACAACACATGCATCATTTCTAGAGTAATATGTTCACTTAAAAGTCACGTTTTGGGACTGTTGGAAGATGTTAGTTACCAGAGAGAATCATGCAAAGAGGAGAACAAGTTGTCTCTGTGCAGTTATGCCCAAGGCAAGGATAAAACCCAGGACTTCTTTGCTGCTAGACAAAGGTCCTGTTTGGTCTTTTATGTAATAGATTAGTAAAAGTAGCTGATTTGATTGAAACTTGATAAAAAGGAGAAGTGAAGCTTTCTATTCTGTTACACCAAACCAATTAGTGACGCATGTCCAGACAAAAACTAACGACTGTTGCAGAGCAGACATTTTCACTGAATCTGCTAGTGGTTCATCTTAAATACAAATACATCTATAAAAAAAAAAAAACAGTGCGGATGAGGAAACTCATTTAAGTGTTTTCTCTTTGGTCATCTTATTTTGTTTGTAATGCTTGCAGTTTCAAAATAAAACTTCTGTACGTTGCTTTTAATCTGTGTGATTTAAATGCAGACACAGCAGAAACTATCAGATGACAGTGACTGGACTGCTGCTGTATCTCTATGCCACCATCCTCCTTCTCTAACCCTGGGAGTGCACGCTTGGCATTTCAGCTGCATGTGAACCTTGACTTAAAGGCAGCCAGCGTCATATTTTACGATAGACTGTTATCTTTCTCTACCTGTTTTGTCTGGTAAATTCATATAAAGGCAGTGTTTGATGAGTTCCCTACATACTGTGTACGGTAGTAGGAGACATTTAATAGAAGAGACTTAGAAAAACACCATAAACTGATTTAATATATAAAGGAGATGTTAATTTAACTTTTTGCTCCTCTTTAATTCTCTTTTGTGTTTTTTTTTTTTTTTTTTAGGTGATCCAGTTTGCTCTTAGAGACTATATCCAGTACTGGTATTACACTCTTAGTGAAGATGAGTCCTTTTTGCTAGAAATCAGACAAACGTTACAGAATGCCCTAATCCAGTTCTCCACACGGTAAGTTAAAGCATATTTTACAGCTTTCTCCAGGCTATAGTTTTGAATCTATTTACATAATATTATGCAATTTGTTTGCTTTGTATGAAGGTCCAAAGAAGTGGACTGGCAGCCTTACTTCACCACCCGCCTGGTGGACGACTTCGCCACCCATTTACGTGTCTTTAGAAAAGCCCAGGATCGCCTCGCAGACAGAGAGGACAAGCAAAGTATGAACACGGCATCGTACAGGCTCCCTGTATTACTCATTTATTGTTGCTATGATACAGATTTACATGGGCTGTGCAAATGTTTTCACACCCTTTGTTTCCCCTTTTTTTGTATTGTAGCCATAAGCTCAAATGTCTTTATTTGGAATTATTTGCAACACAAAATAGTACAAAACTCAGAAATTGAAAAAATATATATATATTTTTGGTTTTCTGTTATTTGTTAAATAAAAAAAAAAAAAACTAATTGATTTAGCCACAGACTTTGTATAGATCATTTAACACGTGAATATGCTTACATTTAAACCCCTCCTCTGTAGATTTGACTGTTTAGGGTTGTTGAAAGTTACTTAAACATTAATCTGACAGTGGTATGAATAATTTGGAGCCTGTTCAGTGATTGCTTTGTTTCAAACTCCATCCATCTCCTTAATGCACCCTAAGAGTGCGTTTTCACGAGGAAGTTTGTTGAAACTAAACTAAAGTGTATTTTTACAAAATCATAGCCTACGTAGAGTGAACTGCTCACTATCTCCCTCTTAGTCCGCTTCCACTTTCACCTCTATGCTTCTCTACGGTAGCAGCTGCTAGCGGCGGTGCAAAGAGAGCTCACTGCTGAAGCAACTCAGCGCTCAGGAAGGGAGAGGCATAGGAGCAGAATCCCTGCTTTTTTTGTTTTGCTGTTGGCAGCAATAACAGAAGTTTTATATTGGCCACATTTTGGCCGATGCCGATTTAATGAGCAAGACGCTAAAATCAACCACTTGATATGACCTTTGAGGCCTTTACAGGACAGCTCAGATCAGATTTCACATTTATTTCATTATTTTTTTTCGGTCGTGTTGGAGCAAAAGGGGGTAAATTCATTTGCTCACAAGAATATTTGGAATTTCTTTCTAAAATAGGCTAAAAACCATAAATCTGTATTCTTTTACTTCGCAATAATCAGCTTCTTTGTGGTAGCCTATAAAGTATAATCCCAATACAACGCATTAAGGTTTATGTCAGACAAAATGTGAATACAGACGTGATCAATACTTTTTAAAGGTGCTGTAGATAATTGTAGAAGCCAAGAGGTGAATGAACTGATTGCTAATAAGAGTATCTTCTTCACAGGGGACATTACAGATGAGCTTGTTGACTCATTTTTTGAGGCTGAAGTGGAGATGGAAAGAAAAATTTGTAGAGACGTAGTTTGCACATCACACAAAGATGAAGAAGGTAAGCAGACATCAGCAGTATTCCTATGTTACTGATAACTGTTTCTGAAGTTTAACAAAATTACATCAATTTCAGGCTGTATCAGTTGAATCTAATATTGATTTATGTTTATTTGTGTATGTTTAGGTTTTCTTCGAGACTTGTGCGAGTTACTTTTGTACCTGTTACTACCTCCTGGAGACTTTCACAACAAAAGCATGAGATACTTCCTGAGGGTGTGCTCACAAACAGATGATACCTGGTTTTAGTGAAAAGTTGAAGAGAACAAATTGTCATGCAACTAGTGCTGGTTATTTTGTATAAACTCTGGTGCTGCAGTGTCTGCAATGACATATAGTTGTTTAATTTGCTGATTGTGTACTTAGGAGGTGCTGGCATATGGGGTACTTCTCCCTCTGATCAACCAGCTGAGTGACCCGGACTACATCAACCAGTTTGTCATCTGGATGGTGAGAATCTAAACCAAGAGGCAATCTGGAAATGATTTTAAATCAGTTAATTGGCTGGGATGAACCCCTTGATATAAAATGGTTGGTTTCTAGATACGGGACTCCAGCTGTAACTATGAAGCCTTCATGAACATCTTGAAGTTAACAGACAAGCCTGCCGAGCTGGAAGCTGTTAAAGACAAGGTGATTGAGGAGCTGCAGTATCTCCGCTCCCTGGACACAGCTGGAGATGGTGCGTTTCTTTGCATTGCCTTGAAAAGCCTTGATCAACTTTTTACATTCATTAAGTAAACAGATAAAGTTAAGATAGGTGTTGTGTTTTATCTGTGCTCCAGACATCAATGTGATCAAAAACCAGATTAACAGTCTGCTGTTTGTGAAGAAGGTGTGTGAGACCAGAATCCAGAGGCTGCAGTCAGGGAAGGTGAGAAAGTGCAGCACAGCTCATCCACAACCAGTTCCTTCCAAAAGTATTCACACCCTGTGAATGTTTTCTCATATGTGTCGTGTTACAGCTAAAAACTTCAAATGAATTCTTACTTTTAGACCCATTATAGTGTATACCAGTGAAGGGGAAGCCTGTGAACATATATCCACCCCTCTTTTCTCATATAGCTTTTAATAAAATATGCATCAAACAATCACTATCTCAGTGATAAAATTTTTAAAATATGTTGGGCAAACAGGTTCCTAAAGAACAATCAATGCACTCTAATCAGTCAGGGATGATGTTGTAGAGATGTTTAAGTCACAAAGCAGTATTCCAAGTTTTAATTTGTCACATTGAGTGACCATCATTGGAAAATGTAACCTGCCAAGATGTGACTTTGCAGCTTAGCTGACAGGCTAGCCAAGAATAGCATCAACAGCCTAGAGAACCATGATAACAGTGCAGAGATCTGTTAGTCAAGCTTTTAGTGAAACTGACTTGAATAGAAGAAATGCAAGAAAGTCATAATTGAAGCAAAAAACAAAACAAAAAAAAAAAGATGGCATGCAGGAGAAGATGCTCTGAAAGCTAGCAGCGGACATCACTAAACACAGCATCCCCCTGAGGAACATGGAGGTCGCAGATTCATGCTGAGGGGATGCTTTTCTTCAGCAGGGATAGAAAAGTCAGCCATAAGACTGGGGTGCTGGTTATAAAAGAAAATTCATTCTGCTCAGTTACGCACTGCAATGTGTTTATCCAAGTAAATTGCAATAAAATGCATGGATGTTTGTAGTGTGAAATAAGTCCATTACTGTTTTAATTTTTGCTGCTTCATCAGATTTTCTCATCATGTTTCTTTTTCATGTAGGAGGTCGATGCCCTGAAGCTGGCAGCCAGTTTTGGCAAGCTGTGCATTATCCCACTGGACCACATCCTTGTCCACAACATAGCTCTCCAGTTCTTCATGGGTAAACCCATCACTCAGGCGCTAACTTTCACTGTAGTTAATCCAGGACACTTCAGACGATCATCCTTATATTCCAGATTTCATGATGTTGTAACCCCAACCTGGGTCTTTTGGCGTGCTTCATCCTGACCTCACCATAGATTTTTTTTTTTTTTTTTTTTACTTTTATTTAATTTCTCCCAAACATACAAACTTTGTAGAAGACTGGTCAAAAACCAAAAACAATATCAGCACTACATCTCGTATATATATACAAGAGTCCATCCATGAATTCTATGTCCATAGCAATTGTCCGTTAGAGTCCATTTTACATTCCACTCCCAGTGTTTCCAGTGGTCTCCTCCAGGTGTTTGTAAAGAATTGAAGACTTCCATCCATGTAATGTCCAAGTCTAATCAGAGTCATGACATCAGCTATCAACGATTTCCATAAAGAAATGGAGGGGGGTTCACTACCCACCCATTTCACCATAATGGCCTTCCTTGCTAACATTAACAGTGACTGTATAACATGCTCATATTTTACTAGTGATTTAGGAATATGTCACAGCGAACATATCAGTGGGTTTTCTGACACAATTTGACCAATAGCTGTACTGATTTTGGCACATACATCTTTCCAAAATGACTGAATGACATCACATTCCCACAAACAGTGAAACCTGGTGCCCACAGAAATTTTACATTTGAGGCAATTTGGAGAAGTTCCCGCATTGTACTTGCAAAAAATATAAGGAGAAATATATACATTATGCAAAATGTTATACTGCATTTCTTTAAATCTTTTACAGACAGAAATTTTAGATGGCAGGAGCAGGATTTTATCCCATAATTGCGTGCTTATTTCACATTTAAGTAAAGTTTCCCAGGATTTCCACAACCATGCCAGTTTGTCCAGATTTAGCTGATAGATCTCAGAATAGAATTTTGATATAAAATGTTTGTGATCCCTATTTTCAAGAAGGAACCTTTCCAGTCTATACGAGTCTGTTGGGTGTATCAATGATTTTGCTTCCTTCATTACATAATGCCTTACTTGTAAATATTTATAGAATTCCTTATTTGATAACGCGTACTGTGTTTTTAAAGAATCAAACGATTTGAATGCCCCATGTTCAAAGAGATCAGAAATTCTAATTATGCCTGCTTTATGCCAACCCAAAAAACTCGAGCCTATGTCTCGAGGCAGGAGATCTGGGTTGTCTATAAGTGTTGATACCATATTAAGCCGGTGACTACTCTTAAACAGTTTTCTCAGCTTTTCCCATGCCCACAAGACATTACATATCAACTGATTATCCTTCATTATTTGTGGCAAGTCGTTCAACCGTCTTCCTAGCATGTTAGCAGGTGAGCAGGATTTACATAATGATGTTTCAATGTTGAGCCAAGGTGAATCAGGGTGTCCATGTATCCAGGCAGAAATGATCCTGGCTTGTACAGATAGAGCATAATTTTCGATGTTTGGTAACCCCCACCCCCCTAAAGCTCTGGGAAGTTGTAATATCTCTAATTTAATTTTGGGTTTTCTTCCTGCCCAGATGAAGTCTACCATTGCTTTATTGATAACCTTAATGTCTTCTGATTTCAAAATTACAAACAGCATGGCTGTGGGATATATTATTTTAGGAAGGATGACCATCTTAACAAGATTTATCCTCCCCAAAAATGATATGGGAAGAGCCCTCCATCTTGTCAGCATCTCACACAAACCACGAGTCAGTCCATCGATATTTTGCTTATACACTTGGTTAATGGTTGGTGTAACTTTGATTCCTAAGTATACAAATCCTGATGGGGCCCATCCGAAAGGTTTAATATATGTAGGTTCCCTATCCCCCGCCAAGCTGTTCAAGGTCATTATAACAGATTTATCAAAGTTCACTTTATATCCAGATATGTGACCAAAATCCTTAATACATTTAATCACAGCGGGTAATGAATCAGTTGGATTTGTCAATGTCAGAAGAACGTCATCTGCATAAAGCAGAATTTTGTGCTCTTTTTCCCCAATTTTGACCCCATGAACATCTGGATTTTGTCTAATGGCCATAGCAAGAGGCTCAATGGCCAGAGCAAACAAGAGTGGTGAGAGTGGACTACCTTGAGCTGTGCCTCTTCCCAGTTGAATGGGAGAAGACAACAGACCATTTGTTAAGACAGAAGCTATTGGAGTGTTGTATATTATTCTAATCCATCTCATAAAATTCGGTCCAAACCCAAATCTTCTCATAATTTCAAACATATATTCCCACTCAATCCTATCAAACGCCTTTTCAGCGTCCATAGAAACAACCAACCCTGGAATTTGGTAAAAGTTGACGTAATGGATAATATTAAAAAGGCGTCTTGTATTATAATACGAATTCCTCCCCTTAATAAAACCCGTTTGGTCTGCATCTACAATCGAGCATAAAACTTTTTCTAACCTATGAGCTAAAACTTTTGAGAGTATTTTATAATCCACACCTAGAAGGCTGATAGGCCTATAGGATGAACATAACTCAGGATTTTTATCTTTTTTAGCTATAAGTGTTATATTAGCTCTGTACAAAGTCTCTGGTAGTTTTAGTTCCTCGAACGATTTGTTGAACATTCTAAGCAGCAAGCTGCCTAATTTTCCCTTCATTACCTTGAAAAACTCCACTGGAAAGCCGTCTGCACCCGGACTCTTCCCCGACTGAAGTGCAAATATAGCTTTATCTATTTCCACCTGCGTTATGGGAGAATCCAGCAAGTTAACCTGCTCCTCAGAAAGTTGGGGAAATGTTACATCATTTAAGAAAAATCCGGATAACAGGCTTGTCATGTCAATCTCAGAGCTATACAAAGTAGCGTAAAACTCTTTGAAGCTATCATTTATCTTACGATTTTCCATTTGTCTCTGACCATTAGAATCAACAATCGCCGTGATAAAAGATTTTGCAGGGACATTTTTTGCAAGATGAGCCAAATATCGGTTAGGTTTGTTAGCCGATTCAAAAAGTCTTTGTTTAGCAAAAAGAATATCTTTCTCAGCCTTATGCATTATTAGATTTTGGAGAGCTGTCCTAGCGCTTTTAAGCTCATTTAATGTTTCTGTAGATTTAGTACAGTAGAATTGATTTTCCAATTGTTTAATATTATTCTCAATCTCTAACTGCCTTGCTAATCGTTCCTTTCTCTTGTGACTTGTGTATGAGATAATAACACCTCTGAGATAAGCTTTATAACTATCCCATAAAATTCTCGAATCAATATTCTCACTATCATTAGTTTCTAGATAAAATGTTGTTTGTTCATCTAGAATACGTACAAATTTGTCATCCAACAAAGATACTGTGCTCATTCTCCACGACGCTGATCGCTCAATATGTCTTAAAGGCTGCATAACCAGTGCTACCGGGGCATGGTCAGAGAGGCCTATAGGGCCTATATTCACCTGTGTAACTAGCTGACAAATACTTTTGGATACAAAAATGTAATCTATACGAGATGCCGACAAGTGTGGCTGAGAGTGAAATGTATATTGTTTAGACAATGGGTTGTAGTATCGCCAGGTATCCACAAGATTGAGCTCTTTCAGAACTTGAAAAAGGGCCTTTGAATTTTTTGTCAAAGTAGTTTGTGATGGTAATCTGTCCATTAGTGGGCACAAAACACAATTAAAGTCGCCTGCTAAAATAATATTGTCACAGTCCAAGTCCACTAACTGAGTAAATAATGTTGTATAAAAACCTCCATCTTGCACATTGGGGGCATATACATTAGCTAGCAGAATACTCTCTCCATGTAATACCCCTTTAACAAGTATATATCTTCCTTCATTATCCTTGGCAGTAGCTATAGCAGTGAAGGGAAGATTTTTATGTATGAGAATAATTACCCCTCTCTTATTCGTAGAAAAGGACGAAAAGAATATTTGTCCCACCCAATCTCTGCAATATTTTTTGTGCTCATCATCGGTCAAGTGGGTTTCTTGCAAAAAAGCAATATGAATCAAATCTTTCTTTAGAGAGTTCAATATGGCCTTTTTCTTTATCACATTGTTGGACCCTTTAACATTCCATGTACTTAACTTAACTGACATGTCTCAAAATAAATATGAAAATTTGTGTGCCGTTTCCAAAATTAACCAAATTTTTAGTTGACCAGTCTGTAACAATTAACAGTGAATTACCATACCAACCAAGAACAGTGATTCCAGGCAAAACTAGAACAAAAGGCCTGGAATCATTATCCCTCCCCCTCCCCAATCCCACCCAAAACAAAATAAACATAATATACTGTTCTAGATGTACTTTTAAAAAGTACAGCTGTAGTGGAAAAAACAGAAACTTTACTTCCCGCACTGGAAATATCAGTCATAATTGCACAATGATACTTAGCCCATTAACCACAGTATAGCAAGCCCCATGTTATTCATTCATAGCTATCGTTATGTAAGACTTTGTACCTTTACAGTTTTATCTGTTGTTTTATGAAGTTCCTTGCAACTTGTCCACATAGTTCTTAATCTCCTCCGCGGTCCTGAGAGAATGGTTGGTGCCATCAGGGTTGAATATCTTGATAGTAGCTGGATACAAAAAGGCATATTTTACCCCGGCCTCACGAAGCGTTCTGCGCGCTGTCGCTGATTCCCTCCTCTTCTTCACCACCTCCGCGGAGAAATCCTGATAAAAGGAGACTTTGCCTGCCGGCGTGCTCACGTTTCCTTTGATCCTCGCAGCCTGGAGAATCTTGCACGTGTCGGTATAGTAATGCATTCGTACCAGGACGGCGCGTGGACCTTCCTTCCCGATGAGCTTTACTGGCGGTCCCGTGCGGTGTGCTCTATCAATCATCATGGACTCCTCCAGGCCCAAAACCTCTGGAATCCACTTTTCAAAAAACTTCACCGGTGCGTCACCCTCCACTCCCTCTTTCAACCCTATAATCCTCACGTTTTGTCGGCGGCTCTGGTTCTCAAAACTGTCCAGACGCTCCATTGCCTTTTTCAGCTGGGTCTCGAGAGCGCAAATGCACGGATCGTTTGCCGCTGTGACATCTTCCAAATCCGAGACCCGCTGCTCCACAGCCTCCACCCTTTCTATCAATGTGTCGAATTTCTCCGTGAGTTCGTTCATAGGTTTTATCACACCTTCCAGTTTGTCATCCAACATTTTTGAGATGTTCTCTGTCACCCGGCCCACAATGTCAATTTCGTGCTGCACACCTGTTTCATCTTCGGCATCGCCCATAGGTTTGTTCTCAGTGCCATGGCTAGCTACAGCGTCACTACTGCTAGCTTTAGCTTTACCTCCTCTTTTGCCCATTTCTCTCTTTTTGCTTTGACCAGGCGTTGCAAAAAAATCATCCAGCGACATTATAGAACTTCAGCTAGCCACTCGAGGCAATTTTATTTTGGTGAAGGAGCTTAAGTATATATTTTAACAAAATCCAGTGCGGAGCCAAAAAACTCACGTCTGCTCAGCTCGGCGCATGACCATCTTTAAGTCACCATAGATTTTAAGAGCTTACTCCACTTACAGATCCGATTAGCATCACGTGTGAATGAGTATAACAAGTCAAGCCAGGTTTTATTAGATGTTGTTTTGAAAACGGCCACAGAGCAAAACTAAATTTGTATTTCCTTTCCTCTTGTCCAGACTTCATGCAGGCAGCAGGGGCTCAGGCTGAGCTGTTTTTTTGGCTCACTGTTGAGGGATACAGGGTGACTGCCCAACAGCAGCTGGAGGTGATGCTGGGCTGGCAGAAGGATGGCAAGAAGCAGCCGGGGGCCACAAAGGGCCTTCTGAAGGCGGCTGCACTCGGGGTTTATGAACAGTACCTTTCTGAAAAGGTAGGAGGCTAAAGCATCCTTCTCCAGGTCAAACATATTCAAGCTTTTTGAACTCCTTCTGCTGACATTACTTACGCTCTTACAGGCATCTCCCAGGGTTCAGGTGGACAAGGAGCTGGTAATAAAGCTAGGAGAGAAGCTGCAAAAAGAAGACCCCACACCTGATATATTTGATGAAGTTCAGAGAAAAGTACTGACATTTTGTGTTTTATTTGCAATGAGACTCTTTAAATAGTCTCCTCCCTGCTAACAAGTCGTGTTGGCGACACCACAGGTGTATGAAATGATGCTACGTGACGAGCGCTTCTACCCATCCTTCAAGCAGAGTCCCCTGTATGTCCGCATGCTGGCTGAGCTGGATATGTTGAAAGAGCCGAGCTACAGAGGATCTGATGATGGCGATGGAGAGTCTTTCAATGGTTCTCCTACAGGAAGCCTTAACCTGGTAAGAAAAACGTTTTCCTCTCGTTTAGGGTTTGTTTTAATTAAGCGTGTGTAGCTTTTCTGAACTGTTGTGGCCATGTTTGATGTAGATGAGCATTAAATGTTATCTTTGGTTGGTTTTAATTACTTCTATAATTTCAGTCTCTGGATGATCTGAACAACTCCTGCCATGATGAATTTCTGCAGCTACATGCCTTCATATCTGACACTGGTATGTTTACTTACCTCTAAAGGTTAAGATTAGTTTTCTATATCTTCAGAAATGTGTGTTTCAGTTGAATAATGAATGATGTGTTTAACTCTCTAAGCTCGTTTTAGTTCCATCCTGCATTTCATCTCCAAGTTCTGTTTATCTGTGTTTCACTCTTTGCCAGTATTCTTTACTTCTTCCATTCCATTACTTTCAATGTTTTTTGTTTTGTTTTCCTCCCCCCTCCTTACTTTCCTTACTTTTCCTTTTTTTATTTCATTTTCACACATTTTTTCCTTTATTTTTTCTCCCACATCTCTATTTTTTTTCTCCACTTCTTCCTTTTTCATCTCATCACCCCTTCCCTAATCTTCCGACTCCTTTTATTTGGGATGTTTTCCCGGGCGGAGTAGCTGATTCTTTTCTTCCTGGCTTCTGGGGTGCCACAGGGGTTTGCAACGATCATGGTAAGACCTACGCACTTTACGCCATCACCGTGTTCAGACGCAACCCAGACGGCAGCGAGGACTGCTGGAAGACGTACCGTCGCTACTCGGACTTCCATGATTTCCACATGAGAATAACAGAGCAGGTGATTCAAGCACTTCGCTGCTGTTTTATTAAAAGGTGCTGCAGCAGTAGCATTTGACGTTTCTTTTTACACAAATATCGTGGATCTGTTTTAGTTTGAGAACCTGACGTCGATCCTCAAGCTTCCAGGAAAGAAAACTTTCAATAATATGGACAGGGACTTCCTGGAGAAGAGGAAAAAAGACCTCAATGCTTACCTTCAGGTATTTTTTCCAGGATTCTGATGCAACCTGGAAATCAATGAAAAAAGAAAAGATGTTAGATAAGATTTTTTAATTTTTGTATCCCTCCCTCTTTGTGTCCTTCCTTTTCCCCCTGTCTTTTGCCCACATTTCTTCCTTCTGTCCTTCCTTTTTTGATGGGTCCTACCTTCCTTCCTTACATCCCACTTCCATAAATTCCTTCCTTGTGTCCTACACTTGTTATCTCTTGTATTCCCCCTCCCTCCTCTTATGCTTAAATGTTTTACTTCTGTCCTTCTTTTATTTATTTCCTTCCTTGTGTCCTCCCTTCCTTCTATCTTTCCTAACTGTTTACAGTCTCACATCTTCACTACTTCTTTCTTTTTTGTGTTGGTTTCTTCCTTCCTTGTTTACTTCCATCCATCCATGGATGTAATCTGTCACCTACATTAGTTTGTATCTGTATCATCAAGTATAAATATGTTTGTCTGTGTTCCAGTTGCTGCTAAACCCAGAGATGGTGAAGGCCTGTCCAACTTTGATTCCCTACGTCTATGACTTCCTAGAAAACAAGGCCTACAGCAAAGGCAAAGGAGAGTTTGCACGAAAGGTTATTTTAAATGTCTCCTTCTAAATTTGTGTGATATATAAACTTAGTAGGCCACTGTGTTTTTATTTGGCTTTCTTAATCTAAGCATTATGCTTTTGCTGATTCATCTACAGATAGACACATTTGTGAATCCTTTGCGGAGTTCCATGAGAAACGTGTCCAACGCAGTGAAATCTCTGCCGGACAGTCTGGCAGAGGGAATGAATAAAGTCTCTGACAACATGGGCCGCATGTCTGAAAGACTTGGTCAGGACATCAAACAGAACATTTTAAAGGTCTGAAAAATCCTTATTTAAAAGCAGATGCTTCTTTACAGCTTTCCTATCCAAAGCATACAGGTGCTGGTCATAAAATTAGAATATCATGAAAAAGTAGATTGATTTCAGTAATTCCATTTAAAAAGTGAAACTTGTATATTATATTCATACATTACATACAAACTCATATATTTCAGATGTTTATTTTGTTTAATTTTGATGATTACAAATGACAACAAATGAAAATCTCAAATTCATCATATCAGAAAATTAGAATATTGTGAAAAGGTTCAAAATTGATGGCCCCTGGTGCCACACTCTAATCAGCTAATTAACTCAAACCACCTGCAAAAGCCTTTAAATGGTCTTTCAGTCTAGTTCTATAGGCTACACAATCATGGGGAAGACTGCTGACTTGACAGTTGTCCAAAAGACGACCATCGACACCTTGCACAAGGAGGGCAAGACACAAAAGGTCATCGCTAAAGAGGCTGGCTGTTCACAGAGCTCAGTGTCCAAGCACATTAATAGAGAGGCGAAGGGAAGGAAAAGATGTGGTCGAAAAAAGTGTACAAGCAAGAGAGATAACCGCACCCTGGAGAGGATTGTGAAACAAAACCCCTTCAAAAATGTGGGGGAGATTCACAAAGAGTGGACTGCAGCTGGAGTGAGTGCTTCAAGAACCACCACACACAGACGTATGAAAGACATGGGTTTCTGCTGTCGCATTCCTTGTGTCAAGCCACTCTTGAACCACAGACAGCGTCAGAAGCGTCTTGCCTGGGCTAAAGAGAAACAGGACTGGACTGCTGGTGAGTGGTCCAAAGTCATGTTCTCTGATGAAAGTAAATTTTGCATTTCCTTTGGAAATCAAGGTCCCAGAGTCTGGAGGAAAAGAAGAGAGGCACTTCATCCACGTTGCTTGAAGTCCAGTGTAAAGTTTCCACAGTCAGTGATGGTTTGGGGTGCCATGTCATCTGCTGGTGTTGGTCCATTGTGTTTTCTGAGGTCCAGGGTCAACGCAGCCACATACCAGGAAGTTTTAGAGCACTTCATGCTTCCTGCAGCTGACCAACTTTTTGGAGATGCAGATTTCATTTTCCAACAGGACTTGGCACCTGCACACAGTGCCAAAGCTACCAGTACCTGGTTGAAGGACCATGGTATCCCTGTTCTTAATTGGCCAGCAAACTCTCCTGACCTTAACCCCATAGAAAATCTATGGGGTATTGTGAAGAAGAAGATGCAATACACCAGACCCAACAATTCAGAAGAGCTAAAAGCCACTATTAGAGCAACCTGGGCTATCATAACACCTGAGCAGTGCCACAGACTGATCGACTCCATGCCACGCCGCATTGCTGCAGTAATACAGGCCAAAGGAGGCCCAACTAAATACTGAGTGCTGTACATGCTCATACTTTTCATGTTCATACTTTTCAGTTGGCCAACATTTCTATAAATCCTTTGTTTTTATTGGTCTTCAGTAATATTCTAATTTTCTGATATGATGAATTTGAGATTTTCATTTGTTGTCATTTGTAATCATAAAAATTAAACAAAATAAACATCTGAAATATATGAGTTTGTATGTAATGTATGAATATAATATACAAGTTTCACTTTTTAAATGGAATTACTGAAATCAATCTACTTTTTCATGATATTCTAATTTTATGACCAGCACCTGTAGATGCACACTGAGATGATCTGAGATATAATAACATTGTGTTATTTTAAATGTTTACATCCACACGTCATACTTGCTTTTAGAGAGAAGTTTATCACAGCCTCTTTTAAAAAATGGTAATAATGATAACATTAAAGCAAACCGCTCTGGTATTGGAAAATATCAGGATCTGCAGTTATTGAAATTCAAATATCGTATCTAAAGAGGAAAAATGGTGGTCGGTGTATCCCTTGTCCAAAGATGAGATGTATGTTGTTTTTAAGTGTATGAAGGACTATAAGCACAAGGTGAAGGAAAGCATTGGCAGAAATCATCAGAGTGATGAGGTTGTATGATAAACGTCTACTTCAGACATTACTCTATAACACTATGACTTTATAAGATCAAAGAAGTGATTTCAGTCTGAGATCAATAGGGACCGATTTGCATTGTGATGATTTTACTTATCAGCCTGATTTATTAAAAGTCTAAAAGTATGTGAACATTAAAGGGGATGTTTTAATTTCTTCTTTAGATCTAACCAGCACTTTCTCTGCGCTTTGTAAAAGATATCAGTGTTGAACTGAAGGAGCTGAGTGTCTTACTATTCTTCAAAACGCCCCATTGTAATCTACCTGTAAATCCCAATGAGGACATTATTAAAATGTCATTTATCCATCCACTAATCCGTTGCTCTGTCTCAGAGGATCAGCTTTAAGAACCAAAAGCTGCCTTTTCTGCTTTCTAAACTTTTACGTTTTCTGCCTTAAAAAATAATATTTAGCTTCTCTCTGCTTTTTTTTGTTTTATTTAGTTTTTCTGCAGTTTTTACTAGAAGCAGCTTGGATGCAATCTTAACCGCAGATTTATGTCAGATTTTATACAAATGTATGTCCCGCCTGCTGTTTGGCATTTTAAGTATTTAGGGTTAACAGATTTGAACTGTACCGTACCTACCTCTTAGTTTTCTAACCGTTACCTTTCTTATAAAGGTGCCTCCACTCCTTCCAAAGTCCGACATGGACCCAGAACACTGTCGAGTCTCCGCCCAGCTGGACGACAACGTGAGTCTGCACACTGTTCAGCAGCTGCTGCGTTTTTATTGCAGCCAAGATTTGTTGTAAATCAGCGAGACCTTTTACCTGCATTCCCAGGTGGATGATAACATCCCCCTGCGAGTCATGCTGCTGCTGATGGACGAGGTGTTTGATCTTAAAGAGAAAAACCAGTGGCTGCGCAGAAACATCAAGAACCTGCTGCAGCAGCTAATCAGGGCCACCTATGGAGACACTATAAACAGGTGGGAAAATGTTAAACCCTCCAAGAATATGTCCACTAGTAAAACAGAAAAACTGTAACATCTTATGTTTTCTTTCTGAAGGAAAATCGTTGATCATGTGGACTACATGACCTCTCCAGAACAGGTGGCGGATTATGTGAAAAAGTTCAGGTAACCTGTTCCCTCTTTGATGCCAATGGGTCTGAATTTCTGGAGTAACTTTGATTCATGTTGAGTTTTTTTTCCATATCTGTTCAGGGATTCCTACTGGCCCAATGGGATTTTAGCAGAGACTCCACCGCGCCGGGACAAGTGCATCCGCATGCGGACACGTGTAGCTGCCAAAACCAGCCTGCTTGGCATCATGCCAGGTGAAAACTACAACACAGCTTGTTTTTTTTTTCTCTTTCTATGTAGTATGTTCTACAGTTATACACACCCAATAATGTTTGTTTTACAAAATGTTGATTAAGTAGGATAGTATTTCACCCTCTTTGATTCCCTTAAAGTCAGTGCAGCCAACTTTCTGCGAGGCCTGTGAGAGAAGGTGCTTTGGTCAGACCAAATCAAAATCAACATAGAAAACAAGGATGGTGTAAATCTAACACCAACCATCCTAAACACACAATCTCCCAAGGGAAGCAGTGGCAGCAGCATCATACTGTGACAATGTTTTACTGTAGTTGTGACCAAAAGGCTGGCCAGGATGGATGGGGAGTTCAGTCTAAAGCTCATGTTTATCTTTCCAATAGGACAATAGTCCCACATATGCTGATTGAGCTACAGGGGATTGATTCATAGGTTTGAGAACGGCCCAGTCAAAGTTCAGGACTCATTCAAATCTGTTCCTAAGCTTGAATTAGAGCTCAAACTAACAAATATTTTCACGAGTCATCTTTTGCCTTTTTTTTCTCTCAACTGAATAATAATCAGATTGCTAAAGCTGCCAATAGATTCCTTTTATGGAATTTGAACCAACTTAAACTAATTTGAGGTGTTCTTGAAAGAGCATCTTTACAGATAAAGAAGGTTTGTTATCTTAAATGTAAAATCTATCTTTGTACAGTTTTGGCTTAATTCCTCAAATTGATTCATTGCAATAAATCTGATCAATTTTGTACAGCTCTAGCTTAAATTCTATTGTTGAATTTGTTTCTCCTTTCAGCTGGACAGATCCTGAGCTATTTGATGAAGAAATTCAGTCTTCTAAACTATTAGAAACTAAGGCTACGTTCACACTCCAGGCCTTGATGCTCAATTCCGATTTTTTTTGCGTTGCCGTTCATATTTCCAACTATATGCGACTTGTATGTGATCTCCTGTGTGAACTGCAGTCATACAATGCAAGTGTCCCACATGCGCAGTAGAGGACGCAATCACAGGCCAGCGTGCTCTTTTTTTTTCCCAGCAAGTAAACATGGATGGTTGTGCCGGCGAACATCTAGAGGTCTTTTCCAACCATAAAAACACAATCTTTTCAATATGGTTAGACATAAAAACTGCTCTGTGCATCATCATCTGCCATGGTTGTTGTTTTTCTTGCCACTTCTGTGTAGCAAGACGCATAATAGTGACGTTTGTCGGGTATTAATGACGTTCAGGTCGGATGAATCTGACCTAGCCGTTCAGACACAGGTCACATTGGAAAAGATCAGATTCATATCGGATTCAGGACCACATAGCCAAGTGGCCTGGGTCACATTGGAAATAATCGGATCTGTGTTGTTCAGACAGCCATGAAAAGATCAGATGCAGGTCGCATATGGGCAAAAAAATCGGATTTGGGTCACTTCAGGCTGCAGTGTGAACGTAGCCAATAAGAACCACCAGATTATAAAGTTATTTGCCTGAAACAAAATTAAACAGAAGACTCAGTTGAGTTTTAGTTGTTAAAACATTTAAGTTGTATATTTTATATAGCATTATGCAGTCCTTGGGTGTTTATCTGTCAGATAAATTGCTACAGAAGAAATTCACACTTGACCAAGATTGCTTCGATTGCTCCTCCATGTTGTGTTGTACTCCGTTCAGACCTTGGGCATGTTTTTTTTTCTCCCTCACTCCTTTGTTCTCCCTATGATCTCATTACTTTTATTGTCCTAATTCATTGTTGATATAGATGTTAAAATGTTTCTACTAACTGCCACATGTTTCCTTTATTCTCCTCAGATGAGCTGAAGCACATCATCGGAGCGGACACCACAAGGAAGGGCATCCTGCGCGTCTTCGACATGTTTCAGCATCAACCCATGAACCGGCGCCTCGTGTACGTGTTCCTGGAAGGCTTCCTGGAGACCATGTTCCCTCAGTTCAAATTCCCTGAGCTGTTTGTCAAGCTGCACTCCCGCTCGCCACGCATTCACAGATACAACCAGAAACTCAAATGCTCCTCTCTGAAGAGGTGACAGGAAAGCTCGGCGGCAGGAGGACAAAGGCCGGCGACAGACGCGCAGAGACTCCAGAGCTGAAAGTGAGGGTGTGATGTGTTTGACGGCTGCCATTAACCTGCCCTCACGCTCCTAACAGGCAACACACTCCTTATCGGTTCCACTGAGATGTAACCGAAGGATGAGCAACTCTGAAAGAAACGTTCGAACGCGAAATATTTCATTTGCACCAAGAGGCTGAACATATTAGTCTTTTCTTTAGTTTCTATAATTTTTTTTCCCTTTTTGGACTTTTTACTTGTGTTAAGCTTTATGGTGGCCAGCCAATGCTTCTTTCTTGTGATTCAGACTAGCAGGTAATAAAACACTGCTTTGGTTTTTTTTTTACTGCAGGACTTAATAGAGCAAACCCACACCTTGCCTTACTTTCCCGCTTCAGTCCTCTATGTTGTGGAGCCACAGAGCTGTAATCAAACATGCCATCATGCAGTAAAATCTCTGAGCTGCAGAGATTTTTTTTTTTTTTACATTGCAACCAAACAAATGTCAGATGCACTGGGTTTAACGAAGCGCTGTCCTGCAAATGTGAGCAAACAAGAGTAGCTTTTTTTTTTTTTTTTACCTGCCACCATTTTACCTTCTCTTGATGGACGGCCCACATCCCCTTTAATGCAACTGTCATAACCTGTGACAACCAAAGCTTACGCTGTCTGTGTGTGGACCCTTTCTATTGCAGATCAGGCAAAGAAATAATTTAATGAGCTACAAAGTGAGAATGGGAGTAACGTGCGCCGCATTTGGGTTGCTTAGGTTTTTGTTTTGTTTTTTAAATGTGTGTCTGCGTGTGTTGAGCTGGAAGAGGCACCTGTGTTCATTCAGAAACAGTGCTGATGTCAGAGAGAGAACCAGCCTTAAATCTATATATATATAAACAGAGTATACTGACCAAGAGATGCGCGGCAGAGCGAGCCCTCCATCACACCATTGGACTTTATACGGAAATTAAAAGGAGAGGTGGAGATATTAACCCTAATCACTTTTATTCTTAGAAAAAAAAATCTTTGATTCGGTGCAATATATTTTTGTGTAATGCATGTGCATTTTGATTTATGGTGTAATGAAATTAGTCATAATCTTTTATAAGGAGAAAACGGAAGGATATCTCCTTAGCCCAACAACTTAACATTCCGTTGTTGTAAAACGTTTATTTTACAGACTTGTTTTATAAGTCTGACTTTATTACTTTTTAGTTTTTTTTTTTTTTTTTATAATGTCTACATAATCCCATGCTCACTATCACAGAACATTCTGCTGTGGGTAGTAGTCAGTGGTGTCGTACAGCTGCTTCTTTTTAATCTCCCAAATGTGTTTGATGCACACGACTGTCATGCTGGGTGTAGAGATCATGTGACCTGACTTCCTCCACTGCCTGTTGTGTGTGTGAAGCCCCCAACCACAAATTCAGGTCCGATTAAATCACAGAAGAGTTTGTGGTCGATAGGATCACTGCTAATTAGCACTTACTGTAGCAACTGTCGGTGTCTTGGCCCCGACCCCCCTTCCACCGCTGGGATTTGTGTACACTGAGCAGCCCCGATGGACTCTGATTGGCTGAGCAAGAGGGACATGAAGCATCTCTTTTTTTTGAGGTGATGTCACCTTTTAACTTCTTGCACATCTCCATGCAAGAAGTTTTTTTTTTTTTTTTGTACACCAGTATATATGAATATATCATACTGAAAATGTGTGCATATCTGTGTACATGATGTGTTAATAGTGTGCCTAAATGTACTGTCAACTCTATTTTCATATTTTTCTTCACCTAAGAAGAAAGGGGGGAAAAAAGTCAATCAGAACATGATCATTTTACGTGACTGAAAAAAAGGCTTTGGGATCTTAGTTTTTTTGGCATCATACTCAAACTTCTCCTGGTGAGCAATTGTGCTCAAATCAGTATAACACTAATAAAAGGTAACTCGGGCTAAATGAGCCATAGTCGCTTTTGTTGCTGTGTGTTTTCTTTCTTGAGTTGCAGGTTTGTTCCCCTGCTTCCCAGGAGAAGCTAAGGTAAGATATCTGCTCTGCAATAACCTGTATTAAACACCCCTTCACACACTTTATTCTAAATCTAAAGCTTACCGTAATCAAAAAGGAACAATGGGTAAATATTGAGCACAGATTTATGTAGAAATGTATTTCAAAAGGTGCAAACTGCCGTGAGTTGTCACCAGATGTTAAAAACTTCAGGTCCATGCATGCAAAGGAATAAGATCAACGTCTCTATTATGTTAACCAGCTAAAAGCAGGTGCTGCTCCAAGGAATTTCAGACAAAATCATTGGAAGAGCAAAGAACAATGGACCTTTTATGCAGCGCTTCAGAAAGACCTAAAATTAGCAATAGGTACAATAGTTTCAAAGAAAACAGACTCCATAGCTGAATAAAAAGAGGGTGGACTCATTCTCAGAATTTGCTGATCAACATTTAGGCAAGCCTGTAAAACATGTAGAGAATAAGACCAGAGCAGTTTCCAGTGAAAGATCAGATTGTCCCCCTAAACCACTAAAGAAAAATGTTTGGTAAAATGACATCATGGAAATGCATGGACCAGTTTGTCAATACTGTACCGTCACTGGTAACAGAGGCTTTTAGACCAAATACTAAACAAAATTTAAGTAAATTAAGTATGTTAGCTACCAATCTTCAAATCATTTGTGGACAGCTATGGTTTATCTCTGTGCATGCATGGACTGCTACCAACTGGGTAACTTTTTTTGTCACATTTACTTTTTTTTTAAAGGCATATATTGCTGTCTCCTTCAAAATGTCTGGAGAAGGAGAGGAACCATCATTCTGGCATATTTACTTATTTATAGAGGATGCAATACAATAAATAACAGGCACATTATGTTGATTGCAGCTTTTAGCCTGCTGGTGGTGATGCAGCATCAGATGTGTCTGCAGGTACTGAGTCTGTTAGTTAATCCACATCAGAGTTTGGCCCTGCTAAAATCTGCAGCTCTTCATTCATGCGGTTTTCTTCTGCGATTTTCCCACCGGATCGGTGATGATTACTAGTCCCCACGCTGCCACACCTAGCAGAGAGTCACAGGAAAACTTTTGCAATTTCAGATTATAACGTGAAGAAACGTATCCGGACTTGGTCATGGCTTACATGCAGCGAATGTGATCTGCGCCACCGTCCCCATTGATGTAGGAGCCCCCTGCCGCATCACCCTCCGAGCTGCGTGAAACACGTAAGCTCCAGACAGGATTAGTCCTCCTCCTGAGATGAGTCTGCAGCCAAAGCAGTTCTTAAACGCCTGGGTTGACTTGGACGAAGCGACGGCGGACTCTGGAGCTGTTGACATTGTTAGCGTAGCGCTGATGTTACAAGCTAGGGATTAAATTCTGCATCTAGTTCAAATCAAAACTCGCGTGTCTGAATAAAAATCGCTTATGGATTTCAGTTTAAAAAAATAGCAAGATCAATTATGTATGATAGTTTCCAAAATCCGCAGTAACCCTTCTTAAAGAGTAGAGCGTAACGAGGGAAAGGTCGACTTTAAACTACTTCCGGGGTAATAAAGACTGTGATGTATTTAGCTTCCGTTCTGCTTCTTTTTAAAATAAAAGCATTTTGTGATCTATACAAACTAACGCGATAACTCTGGATCTTAAGCTACGTTAACACTGCAGCCTGAAGTGACCCAAATCCGATTTTTTTTTTTTTTTTTTTTGCCCACATGCGACCTGGATCTGATCTTTTCATGGCAGTCTGAAAAACTCAGATCCGATTTTTCCCAATGCGACTCAGGCCAATTGGCTATGTGGTCCTGGATCCGATACCAATCCGATCTTTTCAAATGCGACCTGAACGCCATTAGTAACCAACATAGGTAATTATTCTGCTTCATTCTACACTGAAGCGTCAATAAAAACAAACATCATGGTGGACGTTGATTCGGGGAGGTGTATTTTTTTTTTTTACCATATTGAAAAGTGAGGTTTTAAAGTTTGGAAAGATGGCTAGATGCGCTCCAGCACTACATTCATGTTTACTGCCGTAATACCACTTTTGAATTTTAATATAATAAAATAAGTTTTTTTTAACGGGGGATAGAGAATCAAATTATGTTAATAACAATATAATTCTTTTGGCCAAATTTTTCATACAAAAGTGTCGATTTCAAAAAATTACCCCAGCTCTCAATATTTTTATAAGTGAGATACTTTTATTAAAAGAAGTACTAACCCATGGTAAAAACCCTAAAGCCCAATCTATGATGCAATATATTGAGAATTTACTTTAAACTTCAAGAGTCCTTTTGTTTTTTTGTTTTTTATTTACTTTTTTATTTACTACGATCTGTGATTTTTGTTTTCTAATTATATATTGGTTCTCTGTATGATTCTATTTGTTATATTATATATACTCTTCTCAGCTTCCTAAGATATTCAATTTACAACTTTGTATAATTTTTTTTGATATGCCTTGTAATACTTTGATTCTTCAATAAAGAAAATTTGTACTTCCGTAAACACGAAGCACGCTGGCTTGTGACGTCATTGCGACCTCTACTGCGCATGCGGGACACATGAGCCGTATGAATGCGGCTTACACAGGAGATAACATATAAGTTGAATATATTTTGAAATATGAACGGCAACGAAAAAAAAAGTCGGGTTTGATTATCAAGGCACGCAGTGTGAACGTAGCCAATATTTGTTTTATAAAAAAAATATATAGGAAATATGATATATTAATTATATGTTTATTCGTGTTGCTATGAAAAGAATTTAAATATAACACTTTTAATGGCCAGTGGTCAAGTTTAATTAACGTTTATTGCAAAAAAAAAAACATTTAAAAAAGTAGAATTATGAAAAAAAAAAAAAAAAGACTGTAGACCACCATAGATCTCGTCACACAAAAGCGCTGACCTCTTAATGGTTAACAAACAAAAACAACCTTCGCACAGCTGCTTCAGCTTTGGACTTCAGACACAGAGGATCGACCAGCATTCATTTCTCAGAAGTAGGGAAAGATGCTGCCTTTCGTTTTGCTCCTGGTTTGTTTCGGTGTGACAGATTCCACTGAGCGCACCTATGTGGCCGCTGTGTACGAGCACAGAATCATCCTGAACCCGGAGCCTCGTGTCCCGGTGTCGCGCGCCGAGGCGCTGATCCACATGCAGAAGAACCTGGACATCTATGAGAAGCAGGCTGCCAAAGCTGCACAGCAGGTAGGCTCAGCTGGGAGGGCTGAAGCACATCCACAAGGAAAACCTCTTAAATCACTCGTTTTTTTTTTTTTTATGTTAATCACAATTAAGTCGTTCCATCCGTTTTAGGCAGATTTTATGAGATAAACCAACACAAAGCATTAAATAAAGTGAATCATTTTTTCTTGGTTTTAATAACATCTAATAGAAAAATAACATCTGAAAGAGAACAGTCACAGACAGACAGCATCCTGAAGATCAGCGAGGGATACAATTGTAGAAAACCTTAATGTAAATGTCAAAGGCTTAATAAAAAAATATATATTTAAAAAAAATTGTAGAAAACCTTCATGTAAATGTCAAAGGCTTAATAAAAAAATATATATTTAAAAAAAATTGTAGAAAACCTTCATGTAAATGTCAAAGGCTTAATAAAAAAAATATATTTAAAAAAAAAATGTAGAAAACCTTCATGTAAATGACAAAGGCTTAATAAAAAAAATATGTAAAAAAAAATTGTAGAAAACCTTGTAACAATGTTTAAAACACTATCCCAAGTGATGGATGTTTTACTTTAAAACAAAAGCGTAGACCATTAAAATTATAATGAATATTCACCTAAACATGTCTGTCACTTCAAACAGAAAGGGACACTATTATTATGAGAAAGAGTATGGGGCTCATTGTATCTTTGGAGGAGATGTAGAGATCTACAGCTCAGGCGGCAACACTGCAAAGAAATGTCTAAATAATAATAATAATAGTATTATTATTGAGACCTCTCTTCTCTGCAACCCACCCTCTCTAAAAAAATAACGTCTATCTAAATAAGTATTTTTTTCTTAAAATAAGTGCTTTTTTCTTGAATGACGAGGTAGGTGAGACACTTTGCCCTAGAATAAAATTATTTACATTTAAGATAAGAAAAAAATATTGCATTGTCTTAATTTAAATGCGTATTACCTAATTTTCTTATTTTAAGATTAACAAAAATTGGCAAATTATCTTATGTACCTATTCAAATTAAGGCTAAATAGGATCATTCCGAGAAATTTTTACTTATTTCTAGATCGTTTTTGCAGTTAAGAACCACTTTACAGAATTCTCATTCTTTACTTATTTAAAAGTAAAAGGAGCTAAAGTTCACCTTTATTTTTAAAGTATATATTCAAACTGTTGGTGAGGGCATGCAGGAATTTCAGGTAGTAGAAATTATAAAGAAGATAAGACAAAAGGATGAGACGTAGGGCACAGCAAATACATCAGACTAAAAGAACACCTGTTTAACCTGCATTCTATGTAGGCTTGCCTAATATCTGTGGTGTAACACTGACACTGCGCAGCCCCACTATGAAATATCCTCTAAAACCTTGAAACTGGGATGGATGATTAACTTCCACCAGGACAACAAGCCTAAATATGCAACCAGGGCTACAATAAAATGGATTAGATTAAAGCCTATTAATCTTAAAATACTTTGGTCAAAGTCCAGATTTTTTTTTTTTGCAATGATTTGGCAAAATTTTCTGCACCTAAACTGGTAAAGCTGGTGGCTGCTGGTTTTGCTGAATAGAAGTTTGTGACACTTTTCAGAATTTCTTTAGGGGGAAAAAAATCCAAAACAAGTATTATTGAATTTAATTGTAATAAAATATTTCATAAGGTAATATTGACCAAAAGTAAATTATTTGTAGTTGTAGTGAAACAAATATTCAGCATACTGAAGAGGATCAGGCTAAATTCCTTAATGTAAGGGAGAGGTGAAGCTTTT